ATAAAAAAAAAAAAAAAAAAAAAAATTCGATGCGTGCAGTAATGTAATGTTTCGTGTGGTATATTGTGGTAATATGTGATATAAAAAGAATTGTGGTATAAAAAGAATGCTTTTCGTATTTCGTGCGTGTTTCATTCTTCGTGTGGTGTAAAAATGTTTCATTTTTCGCGTGGCGCAAAAAAAGGGCAAAAAAGATTTCGTGTGATTCATTTTTCGTGTGGCGCAAAAAAAGGGCAAAAAAGATTTCGTGTATATACTCATGATTTTGACTATTTCGACTAAAACGCAAGTACGCGACAACTTTTGAATTTCCTAAAATAGATATAATTGTTATGTAGGAGAACAATGAAAATTGTGATTTAAAGTAGATGCATCTTGTCGAAGTATGTAAGATTTTGTTTGATCGTCTAAGACACGGCATAATGTTTCGTTGATCCGGCCTTTACCATCACAAATAAATTAATTAATAATTTATGCCGGATTTTTTTTATTTGAAAATTGAAAAAAATGACATGTTACGATTGTTACATATTAATCCTTATTTGGGTTCTTTTTAAAAAATTTTAATTATATCATTCGATCAATCAATTCATTAATAAAAAATTCCTTTTTTAGTGGCGTGTTTATTTTGATGGCGCTAAGGAATACTCCTTTGAAATCTTGTATACAAACTTGGCAAAATTTTTACGGCATTGAAAAAAATTTTTTTTTTAATCATATTTAGGAAATTAAAAAAAGAAAAAAAAAAATTTTAATTTTTTTTTTTTTGTATTACGTACGGGTATATTATTAATGTATTACGGATATATTAGTTATATAGTTTATATATTTGATATAGTTATATAAGTTTTTCTTTTTAATCAAGATTTCGATCAAGTATAATTAATAAGTATCAGGGATTAAAGTATCAAATAATATCAAATAATATCAAATAATATCAAATAGTTATCAAATAGTTATCAAATAGTTATCAAATAAGGGATTAAGTACCAAATAAGGAGGGGATCGAGCATTTTTAACTAACGGCATATTCCGTGTAGTATAACTCATTCAAATAGTCATATTGTGTTAAGTTATATTTGTTATAGTAATTTATTTTTTTTTTTTTATTAAAATAATCAAATTAGGAGACCTTCGGGGGAAATTGTAATGGATCAACGGATAAAGACCCTTAAAAAAAAAGTCAGTGTATGGGTAAATCAGATTTTTTTTTTGGGGTAAAAAAAAAAAAAATTTAAATTATTTTTTCTTTACGAAATGTTTTTTTTTTTACCGGTCTAAATTTAGAAAAAGATTGTTTAAAAAGGTGATGATTAAATTATTATTTTTTTTTTTCTTTACGAAATGTTTTTTTTTTTACTGGTCTTTATTTAGAAGTAAAGATTGTTGGAAATGTGGTATGAAAAAATTCTATTAAAAAAATTTTTATAATAACGATAATATATATATATATATATATACAGTATATAGTATAATAATAATATTTTTTTATTTTTTGGCGGGAAAAAAAACCTGTAAAAAAAAAGAATTTTATTTATTCGTTTTTCCTTCTCCACAATAATAATAATAATAATAAATAAAAAAAAAATCTTAAATTTTTTAAATTAAAAACATTTGTTGTTTTTTTTTTTAACAAACTTACAATAATTCAATAATTCAATATTATATTGAAAAAAACCAAGATTTATTTCTTGATTTACGCATTGACTCCTATGACTTTTGACGTGAATGAATTTTTTGATTGCATAAAAACAAGTTTTATTTCTAGAATTTAGATATCTTTTTTTTTTTTTTTGATAACAGATAAATAATGGATGATGCTACGTAATTGTATAAGTAAAATTGTATATAAGTGTATAAGTGTGTTAAGTTTGTATAGTCGTATAGGTAGTATAAGTTAGTATAAGTCTATAAGTTATCAACTTATCGTACATACGATACTGTATTAAGATTACATATGTACTGTATCAGGTATAGTCAATTAGTCATCGTACATGTATATGTGTACGTAATATATATATATATATAAATACAAATAACGGATAATAACCTTTTAAACAAAAAAAAAAGGTTGTTATTGTTTTAATAGAGTTGCTTTTTTGCTTTTGTTTTTCCTATGCTTTTTTTTGCTTTTCTTTCCCTCGAATTACATAACCTCGAATTACATCGAATTACATAATCTCAAATTACATCGAATTACATGACTTCGAATTACATAACCTCGAATTACTCGAATTATAAAACTTCGAATTACATAATTTTTTTTTTGGTAAAAAAAAATAAATTATTATAATTGTTCATCAATTTTAAGTCTTAAACGATCAAACCAAACTTTTTACAAATTTATACATGACAAAAATATGTCAATGATCGAAAAATTCCAATTCATTTGAAATTTTAAAAAATTTAAAAAATTTGAAATTTCTTTCACCAAGGATTACATGATTGATATCCTCCACGCATTTTTTATAAACAACTTAACCGATCTATATTTAAAAATTTAATTAAACTATACATAAACATGTAATTAAATAACAGAATATTATGTATTAATGAAACTTTATAACAAAAATAGGTTGAAAGTAAAAAAAAAAAGAAATTAATACTATCAAGCTATATATTTATTTATTGCGCATAATTGCGCAAAATAATGAACAATGACAGGATCGGCTTAGCAATATTTATCAAAAGTATCATAAGAGATCATAACTATAGTTGGTCACAATATCGTCGATTACAAAAAAAAAAAAAGGTTTTTTTTAGACAAAAAAAAAGGTTATTGTTAACAAAATATAGTAAGTAATATCAATTCTAAAAAGTATAAAATTCCAACGAGAAGGAGGGTTAGGAGAAAAAAAAAAATAATTTTTAAAAAAATTAAAAATAATAATAAAAATAAATTATATATATTTTTTGTTATAATAACTTTTTTTTAAGAAATAAAAAAAATAAATAATGTTCAAAAAGAAAAGGACCAAGAAAGAGGTTCATGTGTTTCCTCGCGATTTGAAGGAACTTGGTTATTGTATTGATGAGGAGGGACAACTAAAAACGATAGTAGGAGGTATGTAAAAATTTATATATAAATACATATAATATATATATATATATTAAAAATTGTATTATGAATCTTTTTTTGATCCAAAATATTTTTAGGTGAACCTTATAAGTTTGAAGTAAGAGAAAAAGATAAAGCATATAATGAAGCCTTATATGATGCTATATTGGGTAACTTTTTAAATATTTTGAATTATGATATTTTAATCATAATTAATCATTACTTACCCAATAATCGTATTAATTTTTTTTTAGAAACAATTGGTGACTGGGTACAAGATACACTTCAAAAAAAATTTGGAATGGTTCGAGCTTTATTACCAATAGGTGTTACTGAATCTGATGTACATACTAAAATTTATGTGAGGTAAAAAAGCGTGAATTTAAAAGCGAATTTAAGTGAATTAAAAGTTAAAATAATTTTTTTCAAATATATATTGATTTCTTTTTTCATCTATCTAGTCCAGATTATTTAACAAATGAAAAGATGATGATCTTTATTCCTGGAACATCTCATACGTGAGTTAAAAATTGAATTTTTAAATTTAATAGAAATTATATAGATATTATATAGATATTTATTTGATCTGTTATTTAAGAAATTTATTTTCTTTTTTTTCGATCTGTTATATAGAATTGGGATTTGGTCGAGGAGGGTTCTTGCTGATAAATCTGTTGTGGTTGGTTAAATTTTATTTATTTGTCTTTTTTTTGTGAAATCTTTTTTTATTATTTAACAATTTTTTAATTTAAAATTCCAAAAGGAAGGATCCATGATCGCCTATACACAACGCGCCATAGAAATGGGATTCTCGGTTGTAATAACAAATCCGAATGAAGTATTTTGGTACAAAGACAAGGGAGTCGTACGTATTAATTGTTAATGTGGTTGTAAACATTTTAGGAGCAACATTTTTTTTTGAATTTATCAAAAAAATTACTTTTTCTTTTAAAAGTTGATTCTACCAAAAAGTACGTCCGAATTTTCCACTATACCAGGAAGCGAATCACCAGAAAATCATATAAAATATGTTTTCGAAAATTTTGTCATGTAAAGATTTATTTTTTATATGATGAACGGATTTATATGATTTCATATAATCATTCTAATTTTTATTAACGAATTTCATACAATTTTTATAAAAGTCCTTCCGGAGCACAAAAAATAGTTATTGTTGCCAATAGTTATGGAGGTCATTGTGCAATTGATATCGTACAAAATAAATGTAAGTTATAATCTTTTTTTTTTTTTTTTTTTTTATCATAATTGTAATCATTTATTAATAAGAGATATTTTAACTCAGTTGATGCATTGAAGGATAGAGTTAAAGCAATTGAATTTACTGCATCAACCCATTCGATCGATTACGTTATGACCGATAAAATGAGAGTGTGGGTTCGAGAGGTATGATTTCTTTTTAAATTTTTTTTTTTTTTTTAATAATAAAAATTTTAATTTAAATTTAATGAATTAATTATAGCATTGTAGAAATTGGCTTATGTCTGATCAAGAAGCCGGTAAAGAAGTTATTGATGTGAGATTTGGTTGCACTTCATTATCATCAGGTAAAAATCTTAATTCTCATCATCTTTTCATTAAAATAATCTTGATTTACTTATTTTTCTTTATAATTGAATTAGGAGCTGAACTCAATGAATTTGTAACTACAGATGTCATTGATGATGTTTTTAGTTTTATAGAAAGAAGAGTGGTTAATGAAGAATTTTGGGAAATTAGTGATAATGAAAATGAAGATGATTATTTAGAAGAAACTAAAATTATTGAACTTGACAACGAGTTGATGAATGAAATTGGTGATGTTAGAGAAATAAGAGATATACAAGAAAAAGTTCGACCTGAACTTGAAGAAAGTCCAGATTCTGAATGGTTAAAATAATTATAAATAATTGTTGTAATAAAAGATTTATTTGTAGAATTATAATTAAATGAATGTTGTATTAAAAAAAAATATATATATATATATATATATATATTATTTTTGATCTTTCAATAAATAATAATATTATTAGAATTCAAAAAACAAAGAATTTATTGGAGTATACTAGCGGTACACTGAACATAGGGTTAAATATTTAGAATATTTTGACAATAATAATTTATCAATAATAATCTATTTTATATAATGTAATTTTTATCAAGTTCTTTTAAATTACAATAATAAATTCCTTATAAAATAATTGTAACAACTCTTGACGTTTCTCATTTTTTTCATTATTCGATCAATCTGTGCGACAATCAAGTTTCTCGTATATACCGATTTCTACAATTTCTGCAATTTCTGCAAAAATTTCTTTCTTTACATTTTCGTATTGTACAACTTGTGTATCCAATCATGTCTACTGAGTACTGACTGCTTGCTGATTTAACAGATTAATAAATGATGATTTCTCCAACCTCTCTGCCTGCGTGCCTGGTAAATTTTTATCAAAAATATATGTGATTAAATTTTTATTTTTCGTCTGTGCTACGTCATTCGTGTTCTTTATTGTGTTCTTTGTCTGTCTGTCATAGGAAGCTTGACTGCTGGTGTAGCAGAGCTTCAACTTCAGGGTGACTATTTGTTGTGTTCCAAAAGTTTTATATTACTTCAATACTATTCTATTTACCACAAAAAGATAAGGTGATATCGAATCTATCTTCTTTAGTCAAAAAGAACTGGAGAAGAAAAACGTACGTACGTTACATATATCATCTTAAAAGATTAATCAAAGATCAGTTACAATCTTCCTATAAAGACTCATCAGAAGAGGTTATCTACCTTCTCAAAAGAGAGAATATCTTAAAAAAAAAAGTATCAAAAGATGTGGCATTAAGAATTATTGGAATCAGGAGAAATGAATGTGTAACATGATTGTATCTAAAGTATCTAAATGATTGTATCTAAATGTTACAAAAATCTAAATGCCCTATTTCTGACATGCTTACTATCATTAGATGATGGGAACTCATCAATTGGCACACTTCTACTCACGTCTAAAAAAATTGCAGATTACGGTTTATAAAGTTTATTTTTGAGATGGGGGACTGATCATGCAAAGTAACTAGCATCGATCAAAAAAAAAATTATCACACATATATATAAAATCCTCTCTGTATAAAGCCTGATCGGGCAAAATTTTATTTGTAATTTTTCATCAATTTTTGATTCTTCTGCAGACACACAATAATAAAACTTCAGAACAGCCTAACATATGCCTCTGAAGATTTTGATCAATAATTCCGTTTTTGAATAACACATTTTTACAATTAATGCAAAGAGAAAAAGTTTTTTTTATTAATGACTTCAAAAAAAATTACAGTAAAAGAAAAGCTTTGTTTATTTCTGCCTATCAGATGAAACCATGAAAGCTTAAAGAATGAAAACCTCATTTTAGTCGCTTGTTAACTCTAAGAACTTGAGCATTAAATACTAATAATTACCGTCATTTTATATTTTCCATTAAAGGATACCTTGTATATTCATTACAAGTCCATTAAGAAAACGTGGGCAGGATTCAGAAGTGTTTGCCAAGTGACTTGATTTATATTTGCATCAAACATATATATTTTTACTTCAGATGGATTTACAAAACCATCAATTGACTACCTCCCCTAATAAAATATTAGTTAATGGAGATCAGTAAAATAACCATCATAGTTTGTCTATTTACCTCAATACCACCACTAATCCATCACAACATTTTATTATGGACATGTTGAGATGAATCGCTATATGTAATTTGTAATTCTATAACAAGATTGGTACTACTGGCAGAAATGGTTCATTTTTTTGAGCATTTACTAATGCATTCCACTTATAATAATATAGTAAAATTTCCAGAAAAATGGCAAATTGTCAATGACATTCAAAAACCTTACATTAAGAATCACATGAGAATTGGGATTCATACAATCACCATTAGATAATGCATAACATCTCTATAATATACAAAAAGACATGATATTAATAATGTGAAAAATGAGTTATGCTTGCGTAATATACCTGGGAAGTACCATAGTGGCTAACCAAGTTAACATTAGCAAAGCACCAGCCAGTTACATGATAATTAATAAGAACTTCTCTTTAATAATAATACATGGGAATTGTGAACACATTTTAAAAGCACAGTAATATATAGTATGAAAGTAAAAAGTGAAAAATCTGGAAAGTTAAATTAATTGACTTTCTCTAGTGATTGCTATACAAAAGTAATAAAGCTGAGTCCTATCCACTTTGGCAAATATTAAAATTTTTCGTGATAATATATATATATATAGAATAAAAATTCCTATTTACTATAAACAAAAGAATTAATCATCAGTAGATGGTATTATATTTTACTGAGATGTTCGTTTGTTGATCAATTAGTTTTTAAACTGATACTAATTGTATGATATTTAATTATCTGTTATTGGTTGATTTATGTAGAACTCTGAAATATATCAGGTCCAAAAAGTAGTCATTTCTTCAGGATAAGAATTAAGGATCTTCAGCCTTATTCTACTATGCAAACTCAGACCTTTTTATGTATTTCGGGATGTTTATGCAAAAAAAGTCTAGATCAAATTATATTATATATTTTATCCATACGACCTTTATATTTATATCCACTATTTTTTTCTAATAGCCAGAAAAAAATAACATTAATCGCGTGAAAAAAAATTCACACACTTGCCAAAAAAAAATTTCAATCTGTAATTTTGACAGCTATATAATACAATAAAGTGAATGCAATTACATATAAGCATTTCTTTTCAATGCAAATGCTCAAAGTGGGGAAACCTTATTAATGCTCTATTACTCGTGACCACATAATTAAGTGTATCATTTTTCATAGCATTAATCATTTACTATCTGGCTCTCAGATTCAATATATTTTATAAACAACTGCATTCAGTATTAGTAAAAATCTCTTCTTCAGATAATCCACTTCTAATGGCTCTAAACTTCTAACCAAAAACTTTTCATCTATTCCTACCTAAAAAAGCCTGATTTTGTTTTCTTTGTAAGTACAAAATTTGAACCTCCTGAAACAAATTTTTTGCTAGCTCTCTTTGATCTGTGAATGGGCTCATATTTGTTAACAATTTTGAAATTATCATTATTTAGCCAAATGAATTTTACTCTTATAAGAAACCTATCATCATCTATTACATTTAAAATCTTCTTAGTACATTCTTCGGTCATTTCAATTTCATACTGTTTTTTTATCTCAAAACTATGCTCTATAGATTTTATTTATTTGAACTTCCTTTGTTTTTTGCCTTGTATACATGAATGGCTTACAGATAAAAACTTACTTTGTTCAATAAAGATGACAAATTCAGAAAATTTCATAACTGTCAAATTACATAATTTTGTAATATTTCTTGCATACTGTATATACTATGGACTTGGAAATGCTGGTAAAGACTACAATTCTGAAAGGACTACATATTTAGGAATTTCTCTTTGGGATTCTCTTACTAAAGTCAAAGTTAGTCTTATGGACTTTATTCACTTATTTTCATAGAAGATTCACAACTTTAGCAAAAAGGAATCTTGCATATATAACTTGCAGAAGTAAACAATCTGATAGCATTCTATATGGCTACTGCATGTACCATTTGCACATATCCTTTTAATACTATCCTTGCATCCAGAACTTTAAAAAAAATTATTGATATTAATTGGAAAATCGATTGAACATTGTTGGAACTGATTCAGTCATAAAATAATAGCCAATCACATCTTATTTTTGAAAGCAGATGTTGCAAAACATTATGTATCAGTAAGTCTTTATCTTGATGAATAACTTAAAATCTGAAAATAGAGGAAGCAAAAATTATTGCACACCAGCAACATATTTGCAAAAAGTTCATAAAATAGCAGTTTTAATGAACAATTTAAAGATCTGAAAATAAAGAAAGCAGAAATCATTGAATAAAGCTTTATTAGCAACCAATCAATAATATGTAAAATTCAAAGAAAATAAATTTCTCTCAAAAAATCTTGTTATAGAAATTCCATACTGCTTTCAAAATGCCATTAAGATTTCTTACTGTTAATCATGTCATTTTTTTCAAATACTTTCTGGTTATGACATTATTTCAATTCACAACTTTTAATCATACTACAAATATTACAATTCAGAAAGTAGTAAAGTAAATAGTTATAAAGTTTTAGGTATTTATATTGATTAAATAAATAGATATTTAAGTGTCTTAATTTTTTTTATCGTTATTACATTTAATATTTTTATTTATTTTTATTATCCTTTCTTCAAATGCATCAGTTGATTCATCAATTAGTTTTTTTTTTATCAATATCATCAATTGTTTTATCCATTTATTTATTAAATAAAATTTGATTAATTTAACTTTTGTATTTATTGTTCCAGCAATATTTAATGGAATTCTAAGTTTCTTTATTTAGTATATATAAGATAAACAGTTTGGTTTATAAAATTATATAGTTTAATATCTAAATAAAAAAACAGATGATTTAGTATAAATTATAAAGTTTAAATAGTATAAATAAAATTTTAAGAAAATAGTTAACATTATCTATATTCAAAGAAGCAATATGAAATTCTGATTCAATTAAATAAATAACAATTTTATCAATTATTAGATAAGTAAACTTTTTATTTCTGAAAATTTCAATATCTTTTTTTTATTACATATACGCATAACCCTAAATTTTTATAACTAATCATCAACAACAATCATTTAACAGTTGACATATAACGTGTAAACTTGAACTTTATTTTATTATATAAAATTTATATATACAGTTGAACCTCTATATAATCACACCCCATATAGTCACATCATATAAAATTCCTCTATATAATCACACCTTTGGGAAATACCAATATATATAATTACTACAATGTATACAACTTAGTCCCAGCAATTAAATTTGATGAAATTTAAATCACTACTATTCATTCAAAAAAAAAGATAAACATAAAGTATAAACGTACAATGATAAACCAGATTAAGC